GACTAGGCTCAGCTATATTTATTCTCGAGGATCCACGAAGGCTACTCGGTCACCCGAATGTATAAAACCCACCACTCGTCTAGAAGAGTGTCTTGAACCTCACTTAGGGGGCTATTTCCCAGTCTAAACAAGTATTCTTCAGGTGGACAACGTATTTTAAAAAACATATTTTAAAATTTATGTTTTTTTGACGTACACATAAATCTCGAAAAAGATTATCAAATTTTGTTTTATAAAGAAGAATGTATTTTATATTTTGAAATAGATTTTAGCAATTTTTATTGTCCAAAAAACGATTATACTGCAAGGCATAGGGCATAGGACTGCCAATCACCTGAGGAGGTTCAAGCCTACTCCCGCTAGACTTATGTTGGTGAAGGATACCATATCCTATTGTTCATCAAATGCTTGGACCTTGATGTTATAGGATAGGGTATCTTTCTGCTCTATCTTCGGTGTGCCTTTATCATCACCATCGTACGCCCCAAAACGACTACTTGCGACCTTGTTTGATGGTTTCACGTATAGCAAATGGCTATACATGGACACTTATGCATCGGGCATAAGCATCAAAAACCGAACCAAGAAGCAAGGAAAAAAAAAGAACAAAAATGGAGTGAGAGAGAGGAGACACTGATCCATCTAAAACACCGAAAAGGAGATTGGATCAGTTCTCAAAACTCGTATCGAAAAGACCTGAAAAAGTAGGGTCCCGAGGTCTTTCCTAACAAACATAAAATATTCCTTTGCGCTGATTCTCCAAACACCAAGAACGCAGGATTAATCGAATCAACCAAATATTTTCCCAAATAAAGCTTGCAAATCCTCCCCAGATCCTAAAGTTGATATCAAAATCTTCTGACTTCCAACTTAATCCATAACTTTAAATATCGAACAAGCATAAAAATCTTCCCATAAAATCAAATGGATGCTTGCGATTGGGATCACTACAAAGAGCTGAACAGCAGGTAGGACTCACGGCCAAAGCAAAACCCGAGGCACATAAGAGAAAACAGCCAACAAGGTCCTCGGCCCAAAGCTAGGAACAGGGACAAAAGGGCTCACGGTTAGGGTCAGCAAAGAAGAGGAAACCGCCAACAAGGCCCATAACCAAAGGCAACTTAAAAGACAACAGATAAGGCTTACAGTTAAGGCATCAAAGGGGCCCCAAAAGAACTAATAAAGCTCATTGTTTAAGGTAGCAAATAATAGCTGCAAAAGCCCACGACCCAAGGTCATCCAAAACACAAAGGGGCTCACGGCTAAAGCCAACAAAAAGACCACCAAAGGCGACTATGCTTCCCTGACAAACTGAAAGGATAACTAAAATAATTATAATAATTTTTTTTTTTTGGATGACAAACTTGATTCATTCCCTACAAGCTTTGATATACATAGGAGAGTATGAAATATCACCAATCTCTCAAAGTAACAAGTTTAATCCCTCTATAATCATTCAAATGATTCAAACTCAACAAGATGGGGTAAGTTAAACTCAAGGAATTCCAATGGGTCTCACGGGTAGGGGTAG